TATTCAAAAATCAAATATCAGTTAAACTTTTCTTTTAAAAAATTAGATACAAATTCAATGGGTGGATCAAATGTAAAATGGGTGCCACATGAAAATTTTACTAATATTATTATCAATCTTCAATAATAAAACAATTTTACTCTCCAATTAAATCCCAAAAAAAATCGAAAAAATATTTTTCAAATAATAAGCCATTTCTCATAAACATTTTCTAAAAATGATTTCTGTTATACCATATTTACACCATGTATTTGCTTTTTCTCTTTTTTTGAGTCTCAACTAACTTTCATTCATTTGCTTTAGAAGCTAGCTGGAAATTATGGGCCAAAACAATGCATTGATTTACACATCCTGGTCATTACTAAGCTACTGTGACCCCCATCCTGATGCTAAGAAATACATTACTATCTTTTACTATGTAATATAATAATTGAATATATGTACATGTTAAAACATTAATATTGCATATATGTGCATTGATAGTGCCACAATAATTATTGAAGAGCCAAGTAGTACATGTTCAAAATTATAGCAGGCTTGGCATACACAGTTATAGCCAAATTCTTCTGAAGTGTTTAACTTCAGCATGTTAATACTGTATAATATTTTTACACTATCAGGTTAAAATAATCTATTATAATAAGTAATTGTCTATAATAATTCTAATTCGCTAACCTATAAATATAGTAAATAACCTCTTTGGGGTCGTTTAGGTTTAGGGATTTTTATCTAGCTATACTATATTAGAAACTTATTTACCAATATTCTCTATGTTTTGTAATTTTTAATAAGTATCTAGGTTTTTTTTACAAATTGTGTAGATTTCTCCTTAAAAGGCTCTCATCTCATTATTAGTGCTTTCAATTAAGGGATTCAATTATATCATTTCCTTTTTTTCCCTTTCCTCTTCTCTCTCCTTTTTTTTTACATCAAAATCCCTTAATCTACATCCAGAATCTCCATCTTCTCTCTTCCCACCATTGGTGTCAGCTTTATATTATTAAATCATCAATTGCATCGTTCTTTTGTTGGGAGACCGGACAACACTGAAAATGAAAAAATAGTCAGGGATTGTATGATAACTGTATCATAATTGCATTTGAATTTATCAGATATATCGATGCGTAAAACATAATTGTATCATACTTGTATCACAATTGTATCTAATTTGTAGATGGTACATGAATATCCAAAATAATATCTGATATAATACTAATAAATTAATATATAATTATCATATATTTGTGATATAAACAGTGAAATTCGTCATGAACTCACAACTACTCATTATTCAGATGTAAATTTGATACAATCCCGAAAGTATTCTTACACAATTCTGATACAATTATGATACAACTTAAAACCAATTTTAAACTTAAACTAATACTATATCGTATTATATTGTATTAGCATTGTATCATATATTGTTTCAGGTACAAATTGTGATACAATTATGATACAATTCTAGATTATGATACAACTTTGATCTTCATCTTTTTCAAGTTTCAATTTAAAATATCCACCTAGAACCAACTCTAAACTTAAATTATGATACAATATTGTATTTTAATAATATTAGTATTGTATCAGAATTTTCTTAGGTATTGACGTATCAAATACAACTCAGATACAATTATGATATATTTATGATACATTTATCATACAATCGTAATACAATTCCGAAACTTCTTCTTCCTCGAGTTTCAATTAGAAATTCAACCTAAAACCAACTTTAAACTTAATGAATCTCCCTTAAAATTGAGATATAAACTCTAAAGGATATTTTCAATCGTTTTGAAGAACACCCAATCCAAAAAAATTACAAATTCGTAAAATCTGAATATCTAATTCACAGTTTCGAAACTTTTTTATGGTATGTCAATGGCAGACCTCTCCACCTACAATTTCAGAGATATTGTTGATGGTTTTATCAATAGTTGAAGCTTTATAATGGTAGTTGGTGGAATTGATTCAGAGAAATATATGATACTACAATTTTAGAGAGATAATAGTTTGATTTGTATGAGGGAGAGAGAGAGAGAGATTGGTTGATTTGTATGAAGAGAGGTGGTGATTTTGGGTATCAGTGTGTTTCTTACGGTGGGTAAGTACAAAGAGAGATGGTGTTTTGTAATCCTTTGAAAAAGGAAGAGTATCTTAAATGTAGGGGGATTATGTGTAACTAATACTCAGTATTTAAGGTATGTTTCATTTTCTCCTTTTTATGGTTTTGTATAAAACTAGTAAATATAGGTATATAAATTAATTAATAAGGAACCTAAATAAAGGTAGTAAATAGGCTTCTATTATAGTATAGCTAGGTAAAAATCCCTTTGATTTTAATACAGGTTATGCTGGGATAAGTTAAGATGTGATTAGTTATGCTGGTATTGTTTTTTATTCACTGTTTGGTACGTTGTATTAAAAATGATATGCATTGCATAATTTTTATCCCAACACTATTTTTATCCCAGCACGAATTATGCCACCCCCTACAATGTATAAGTTATCCCGGTACTAATTGTAATCCCGGGATAACTTATCCCAGGTTTGGTAACCAAACAAGGTATTAAGGTGGTTAATTTTTTTTTCCGGCACTATTTTTACTTATCCCTCGTACCAAACGACCTCTTTACGTTTTTTACTCGAAGTTCAATATTCGTATTAGAGTCCCGATTAATTTGGATTTAGGCCCTATAAGCCCATTAAAGTAAGAAACGTTCCCTATCACGATTTTTTTTATTCTCGGACTCGAACTAAAACTTCTAATTAAGAGTGGTATAATTATATCCCATCACAACCCTTAATAGTAAATATTAAATATCCTGCTATGACCATTGAAAATATACGAATAATATAAAAATTATTTACATTGTAAAAGTATATCAGTTAATTCCTTTTCGAAAACCTAGGACATATACATGACTCACATAAATTTTCCTATTTGTTTAAGATATCTTCTTGGTAAATATGCAATGCAATAATATTGCAGTCTCCATCTGGTTGCCACGAATTAATCATACGAGGCTACACTTGTACCTCACAGCATACATATTGCTTGTCATTAATGCGCACCTTATTATATGATCACGAAAATTATCATGAGATAATTATTTTAATTGTGACGGGAGACGGATTCAGAATTTAAGCTTTATAAATTTAATTTTTAAAATTATTATATTATTAATATTTTTAAAATTATGAGTTTATATTTATTATTTACTGTCATTTTAATAAATTTACACATAAATTTATGCTAATGATAAAAATATTGAATTCATATGAACCTCTCTGGCTGAAATGCCTGCCATCCTATAATGCCAAGTAAAATTAATTGCATTTAGAGCAGAAGAAATAAAACATTTACCTGCATTTGCTGCGTCTTAATTAGTAAAACTAACCTATTAATTATGCCTAATTGTGTTCTAATTATTTTAGAATATACAAAACAAATCCAACATTATGGTGTCGGGTTCATCTGAACGCAATATTTTCGAAGCGGAGCAAATATTTATGTGAAAATTTTTCAAATTACAATAAATAATAGATATAAACCCATTACTTAAAAAATATACTGGGTCCATGTAAGATAAACTAGTAAGGTAATTAGAGGTAATTATAACCTGTAATTTTAACCAATAGAGTTTAAATTCTAGAGTCACCTCAGTATTCGGATCTTATAAGATAATAGAGGTAAATATTAATGAAATCTATTAGTTAATAACATATTAAAAATTATAACTAACTTGCAATAATAAGTTAAAATAATAAAAGTTTTAGATTATCAATTTATACCTTTTGAATATATTTTTTATGTATCCTCATCTAAGTTATGTATTAGAATATATATCCAAGTTTAAGAAGAGGGGCGGAACTAGGTAGGAGTATTTAATTGAATTCCTTTCATCGAAAAATTATGCACTGATCAGTAAAGAAAAAAATACATTTCTTTTGTGATGTATAAATTATTGACTCCCTTGACATAAGGAATTTTCTTTTTAGTGTAGTGATAAAAAGAAGTTTAAAAATTTCTTTGCTCAAAGTATAAGTGTGGCATCATATTATTT